AGGACCACAGAGAGGACCACATAGAGGACCACAGAGAGGACCATTGGGAGGACCACTGAGAGGACCACAGAGAGGACCACATAGAGGACCACAGAGAGGACCACATAGAGGACCACAGAGAGGACCACAGAGAGGACCATTGAGAGGACCATTGAGAGGACCACTGAGAGGACCACAGAGAGGACCACATAGAGGACCACAGAGAGGACCACATAGAGGACCACAGAGAGGACCACAGAGAGGACCATTGAGAGGACCATTGAGAGGACCACTGAGAGGACCACAGAGAGGACCACTGAGAGGACCACTGAGAGGACCACTGGGAGGACCACTGAGAGGACCACATAGAGGACCATTGAGAGGACCACTGAGAGGACCACCTGCGTATGTTCCCTCCGGGTGCTCCGGTTTCCCTTTACCACTAAAATCATTTGCAACAGGTCTGACAAGGGCCTCCTGTACTTGCTTCTTTATTATATTATATTAAAGCTAGACATTTTACACTTGTTCTTTATCAGACTAAAGCTAGAAATGCTTTATTTTCCTCATGCTCCTCATTCCTACTCTTCTGAAACTGAGTGAGTGAGTGAGTTGAGTGAGTGTTTATTTATTTCGAGTCCATGTACATCAAATCAACCATTTACAGATACAATATTGACATCATTCAAACTCGAAAAGGAGTGGGAGGAAGAAAAAAATCTTTTAAGTTCCCACCCCTGTGCACATCACACTTACCCCTGTGTGTCCGGAGCCAGTAGCAAAGTCATGCATAACAACACGGCAACAAGCAGCACAGTGACCCCAGCCAATCCCGTCACAGCAGGCACCAGAGCAGCAACAACCAGCAACGCACCAAGGCATCGAGCCAGAACTGCACACACCCTATCCCACCGGTCTCAGGCCACGTTCAGCCGACTTCATTTGTTTATTTATTTATTTATATTCCTCTTTTTGTTATTATTATTATTATTATTATTATTATTATTATTATCATTATTATTATTTTAATTATTATAATCATTATTACTATTATTTCATTTTTCCCTTTTACCAGACAATGGAGTATTTTCACTTGGTCAAATTGATAGCATTATTGTTTATATTCAAACTACTAACATATACAAATCATATCCATTCGTGGCAGTGTGTAGTGGGAGAAGACAGTGACACCTGCATGTAAGCCCTACCACATCACCAGGATTTCCCCGCTGTGGGACCAGTGAAGGATCTTAGTCTGAATACTTTGTAAATGACTCCAGCCTGAATCTTACTCAACAACAGTCAGTGGTGCGTGTTTTGTTGTGGTTGGATTCCTCTTGCAGACAGAACACTTTGTCCAAGTTAGATTACTGTAATGGCTGCTCACAGGTCTGTCCAAACAGGCTGTAAAACACCTGCAGTACATTCAAAATGCAGCAGCTCGAGTCCTGACTAGAACCAGGAAGTACGACCACATTAGTCCTGACTAGAACCAGGAAGTACAACCACATTAGTCCTGACTAGAACCAGGAAGTACGACCACATTAGTCCAGTCCTCAGGTCTCTGCACTGGCTTCCTGTGGCTCAGAGAATAGACTTTAAAACAGCTCTGCTTGTTACAAGTCTCTCCATGGCCTCGCACCAAAATATATTAGTGACATGTTAGTCCCAAATGAACCAGCCCGGACTCTGAGGAGCACAGGGACTGGACTCCTGCTGGGACTCTGAGGAGCACAGGGACTGGACTCCTGCTGGGACTCTGAGGAGCACAGGGACTGGACTCCTGCTGGGACTCTGAGGGGCACAGGGACTGGACTCCTGCTGGGACTCTGAGGAGCACAGGGACTGGACTCCTGCTGGGACTCTGAGGAGCACAGGGACTGGACTCCTGCTGGGACTCTGAGGAGCACAGGGACTGGACTCCTGCTGGGACTCTGAGGAGCACAGGGACTGGACTCCTGCTGGGACTCTGAGGAGCACAGGGACTGGACTCCTGCTGGGACTCTGAGGAGCACAGGGACTGGACTCCTGTTAGTGCCCAGAGTCAGAACTAAACATGGGGAGGCTGCTTTTCAGATTCATGCTGCTAAAATCTGGAACAGTCTTCCTGAAGATGTGAGACAGGCCTCCTCTCTGACAATGTTTAAAACCAGGTTAAAGACAGTTCTGTTTAGCTGTGCTACAACTGAGGGATTTTATATTTTTATCTTTCTTTTTAATGTTCTGTGATTATTTATGATTTTAATGCTTTCTTATTTTGTTCAGCACTTTGAGTTGCCTTGTGTATGTTTGTGCTATATAAATAAACTTGCCTTGCCACACTGTTTTTGTTTTTCCTTCTGTTGTGCAGCGATTTGCTTGTTCTGCTGGTTTACCTGGAGGAGCGCGTGTTGTGCAGAGTCTGAATGTGAAGAAGGCGGTGGACCAGCATTTTTGCAGCCGAGCGGAAAGTGTTTGTTTTGACGACGCTGCAGCTCGAAGCAGGAACAACATCCAACATAAGCAGGACAGTCACACTTTGTTATTACTATTTTTAATATTGTTATTATTATTACTATCATTAAGTACAATCCATATCGGCCAAATCCTGTCACGTCGTCCCCACCACAGTCTGCGTGGTGTCACCGGTGTCTTCCTCAGAGACTGGCTACAGACTGACAATGCCCAGTAGCTCCCCACCTCTTTCAGGTAGCTCCCCAAAGGATTCAGGAATGGACACATGATCCTAAATGATGAAGTTTTAAGTCATTGCATATGTAACATGTCCTAATGTTCTCTATTGTCGGGTTGTACAGTAACACGGAACATTTTACTGTGAATGTGTAAAGACTACAGTTTTATTACGACTGCAGAAAATAGAAGCTTTCTGCCTTTGCACGACCCTGGTCTTATCCATCTGTACACTACGGTCCATCATCATCTCCTGCATGTAACGTCTGGGTGTGCTCCCTGTGTCTGCGATAACAGCGGTTCAATGCAATCCAACCATTCAGAGAGTGCGGGAGGCGGGTGTTGTGTGGGTGACGTCAAGAGTTTGCGCCGAACGGGCAGGTTGTAGTTTGGCAAAGAATGCGATAGCAAAGTATTCAGATCTGGTTCTATCAAGAAACTGAAGCCGGAGCAAGAGGAATGTTTAGCAAAAGTAATTGTTGGCAAAGATTGTGGCGCTACTCCCCACGGGCTCTGTTAGTGGCAAAGGGTTACAATTGCACAAAAGTAGCTCTCCAATCAAAAAATGTTGTTCTTGATCAGACCTGGGCAAAGTGCGGCGCAGGGGTCAGATTCAGCCCAATTCACATTAGTTGTTGTTTATCGGTCTGTAGCTTATTTCAATGAATCCTTTCCCAATGAAACCTTGTGACTCATCAGCCGCACAGATGGAAAATGTAAACCTGCTAGCTGAGTGAAGCCCAATAGGGAAGTGCTCATGGATGAAGTTTTGTTCCAACTCTCTCTGGATCCTATTGACTTACATTGAAAAGTAAACTCCTGTGGCTCAGTAACTGCTTGTGTCCATTATGGTGGTAAATCTAGATGTAGGCCAAATTAAAATTGACCAATCAGATGCCGTCATTCGCAGCAGAAGCTTGCCTAGTTAACTTTGGTTAACCAAAGTTAATCAGTATTGGTTATATTCATCTTTTAGACTGGGGGTACCCCAAGGTTCTATTATTGGTCCCATGTTGTTCTATTTACCTGCTCCCACTACGGGTGAAGGCCTTAGGGGAGAAACTTTAACTCTCTAGTGGTTTCCCCAAATATTTGGTGGATCACTTCACAGTCTCTGTATCTACTTGAAGCTTGGATCTGAACTCTGCCCCATTGGGGCATCATCACCTGGTTCAGGTAATCATAATCTTTGTTTACGTAGCGCCTTTCACAGACAGCCACAAAGCATTTTACATTTTGGGCATTTGTCTCCCACTCCACAGAGAGCGGGGTCACAGTACAGGAGGCACATGCCAGACCTATTGTACATGTTTTTAGAGTAGGGGAAACCAGAGTACTTGGAGGAAAACTACGCAGACACAGGGAGAACATGCAAACTACATTCAGAATGGCCCTGTTCCAAACCGGCATTCTAACCAAGGAACTTCTTGCTGAGAAGCGAGAGTGCTAACCACTCAGCCATTGTGCCACCAGATTGCGTCTCAAACATTTGTTAGAGGCCTATAATAAATAAAAACTAGGGGTTAAAACTGAGGAGCACAGGGACTGGCCTCCTGCTGGTCCCTGAGTCAGGACTAAACATGTGGAGGCAGCGTTTCACATGTATGTCGCTAAAACTGGAAAAGTCTTCTGGAAAAAGTTAGACTTCTTCTCTGACAATGTTCAAATCCAGGTTAAAACAGTTGTTTATTGGTGCATACAGCACATATCAATCAATCACTTTATTTATCCCCGAGGGGCAATTAAAAAGCACGGAGAGTTGCAAGTTACATGCTAATAATCTCAGTTAAAAAACACATAAATACATTTACACACACATCCTGTGTAAGTTAATGTTAGGAGTGTTTTAACACTGCGCTGGGGAACGACGGCTCCGAGTTCAGCTGAGTCACTGTAGGAACTAAAGTGGATTTCCTCCTCTGCGTCCTACATCCACCGAGCGCAGCCTCCTCCCTGAAGGCAGCCACTCAAACACAGGGAAGAGAACATGAGCAGGGTCTCCCAGAATCCTACAGGCCACTCTCATGGCTGATCACACAGGGCAGGAAGGGATCTGATTGGCTGGCCAATGATCTTAGAGCAGACATTTGTTACTCTGTTTAACTGACTGAGTGGGAGTCATCGCACCATGAGATGAACTCCTGTAGAGCAGGACCATGACCCAGAGAGGGAGCAGACAGTAAGGACAGGAGAACCGTGTCATCAGCAAACTTGACCTAATAACAGTTTGGCTGAGTTGACCTACAATCGTCCGTGTGAAGAATGTACAGAAGGGGTGATAAGACACATGCCTGTGGGGAGCCAGTGGACCGTATCTTTGGTCTTGTTATTGTACTGTGGCTATTTATGCCTCATGTGATGGACAACCTGCAGATAAAGGTGGATTGAAACCAAACACAAACTGATATTGTCTGAATGCTGTGGACTGAAGAGTCTCTAGTGCGTGCGAGGCTCAGGCATGTGTCGTGTTGCTGAGGCTTCAAACACAGATTTTCAAGGCGTGAAAACAGCAGAATGATAAACCACTGGAGCGACTCGAGAAAGACGGAGACAAAAGTTAGATCTGAAGTCACGACTGCTTCACTTTAGGACGGAAAAACTCACATCCTTTAGTGAGTCATCTTTATGTCCACTGTCACTTTATCTGTGCAATAATAATCTGAATAATGTCAGAATGAGCAGAATCACTTCAGGACTGAAACACAGAACATTCCTGACTTTCCAGAAAACTGCTCTGTGATTTTGGCCAAAAGGAAAGTAAAAAAAGAATTATTGAGAAATTAAGACAAGGTTCATTTTCAAACAAAAGGAGACAAAGCTTGGGTGGCACGTTGGCTGAGTGGTTAGAAGAAGGTGCTGAGTTTGAACCCGGTTGGAACAGGGGTACCACAAGGTTCTATTCTTGGTCCCATTTTATTTTCTATTTACCTGCTCCCACTACGACGAGTTAAAGTCTTAGGGAGAGAAAACGGAACCATGATTGAGTCCAAAACACAAAGTCATGTCTGAATGCTGTGGACTGGAGAGGCTTCTGCAGTCATATATCGCAGGTGCTTTTAATTGAGACTTTGTTGTAAACCGACCTGCATGAGGAATGTTCAAGTAACAGATTCAGATTAATGTATTTAAAAAGATTAAAACAATATGTCTGGCAGCTACAGGTAGGTTCTGAAATGTCATGTTTTCTTTTGTTCGGTCTGGAAGAAGAACTACAGAATAAACCGGATTACAGGTGCGTGAGATGCTGCCTCATTTCTCAACACTTCAAACTCAGAAGTTTTCAGGTGTGAAAGACTGAATGAAAAACCACTGATGCAGCTCTCAGGCCTTTGAAGTTACTGCCAACGACAGGAAGAAGGACAACTGTCATTTTCTCTTCATAGATTATTCATTATTTTCTAACATGTGCTGCATTACTTATTATTTGGTCAGTATTTAGTCAGCCACCAAGTTCTCTCTCTTAAGAAGATGAGGGAGGCTTGTTATTGTCATCATAGTTAAACCTCAAAGATGAGCGGCAGAATGAGAAAAAAACCAGAAAATCATATTTTTTTGTCTGATTTCTAAAGAATTTATTTGCAAACTACGGTGGAAAATAAGTATTTGGTAAATAAAAAAATGTTAATATCAACACTTTGTTATTATTCCTTTGTTGGCAATGACAGAGCTCAATAGTTTTCTGTAAGTCTTCACAAGGTTTTCACTGCTGCTGGTATTTTGGCCCATTCCTCCATGCAGATCTCCTCTAGAGCAGTTGTGTTTTGGGGCTGTCGCCGGGAAACACAGACTTTCAACTCCCTCCAAAGATGTTGAATGGGGCTAAAATCTGGAGACTGAGGCTGCTCCAGAACCTTGAAAGGCTGCTCCAGAACCTTGAAAGGCTGCTCCAGGACCTTGAAAGGCTGCTCCAGGACCTTGAAAGGCTGCTCCAGGACCTTGAAAGGCTGCTCCAGGACCTTGAAAGGCTGCTCCAGAACCTTGAAAGGCTGCTCCAGAACCTTGAAAGGCCACTCCAGGACCTTGAAAGGCTGCTCCAGGACCTTGAAAGGCTGCTCCAGGGCCTTGAAAGGCCGCTCCAGGACCTTGAAAGGCTGCTCCAGGACCTTGAAAGGCTGCTCCAGGACCTTGAAAGTCTGCTCCAGGACCTTGAAAGGCTGCTCCAGGACCTTGAAAGGCTGCTCCAGGGTCTTGAAAGGCTGCTCCAGGACCTTGAAAGGCTGCTCCAGGACCTTGAAAGGCTGCTCCAGGGTCTTGAAAGGCTGCTCCAGGACCTTGAAAGGCTGCTCCAGGACCTTGAAAGGCTGCTCCAGGACCTTGAAATGCATCTTTCGAAGCCACTCCTTTTTTTGTGTTTGGGAATAATAAATGTAACTCATGATGCTTTATATACATTTATAGATACAAACTAAATATAGCATATAATGCTAGCGTGAGGCTGACAGAGCTTTTGGTTTAAACATAAACTTAACTGTTATGTTCCACATCTTTGTCTAACTCTACATAATGGAGTCGGTCCATCTGTCAAATGTTCTTTTGTCCACATAGTGCTGCTTCTGCTTCTGCCTCCATGATGTGATTTTCTGTTTTGCACTGGTCTCATGTCGCTGATGTGAGGGAATTACAGCAACACCAGACCACCGCAAAATAGAAAATCACATGAGGAACAGGAGAACATAAATACAAAAGATGGAGACGGCTGAAATCTGGAGCGGGGCCCACGGACCATCAACAGAGACGAGGGGCCTTCACCTTGGCTCACACTTGGGACTCACTTCTCCAGAGACCACAGCACAAACTTTCAATATTTTGTCTTATTAATAAAAATAAACATACAACATATCCAACTTTTTACACACAATGATCTCTGAAAGAACAGAACCATAACTGAGTCCAGATGAAGGAGATAAATGACTGAACAGACGTGTGTGTGTTTGTGCGGGGGTCAGTCGTGTGTCGTGGGTGTAAATGTGGAGGTGAGGAGATCTTTTGTTAAGACTTCAAACACAGATTTTCAAGGCGTGAAAACAGCAGAATGAAAAACCACTGGAGCGACTCGAGAAAGACGGAGACAAAAGTTAGATCTGAAGTCACGACTGCTTCACTTCAGGACGGAAAAACTCACATCATTCAGAGAGTCATCTTTATTGTCCACTGTCACTTTATCTGTGCAATAATAATCTGAATAATGTCAGAATGAGCAGAATCACTTCAGGACTGAAACACAGAACATTCCTGACTTTGTGTTGTCGGTAAAGTCAAAGGAAATTAAATCAAATGAAATGTATACAGCTGAGTTCTTAGGCTTGAGTTTCCTCTGGATGACCTCCAGCTCACTCTAGGCCAGTACATTATGTGTGTGTGGCAACTGTGATGTCATCAGGCTGTCAAAATTATCGCGTTAACGCACGTTAATCAATTTTTTTCAAAAATTGAGTAAAAGAAATTAACGCAATTGACGCATGTCCAAACGTCCCATGCATTGTATAATATCACTCAGAAGTGACTGGGACACGTCTGTGTGTGAGATGGCGACAGAGCAGGTAGGCATTAGTTAGCATTAGTTAGCATTAGCACAACTTCTTATAAGCCGTACAACAATCACTGATGAAATGATACCAAAGCAACACACTGCTAACAAAATATATAACTGATTCATACCTTAATTCATACACAAGCTAAATCAATTAGCTCAATTTTTAAAAAAAATTACGGGCTTCAAAACAACTTTTAATACAACTTAGAAAAAATAGTGTCTACTACAGAAAAACAGGATATTAATAATGTTAATGGATATTAATAATGTTAATGCCGTTTTATGTGAATTTATTGTTACAATAAACAATATGTACACGATGTTGTCAATTATCTTTCCATTAAAATAACCATTTACAGAAAAATATGGCATAATTCTGAAGATAGTTTGAAATGCGATTAATGAATGATCAATGAATTATTTTTTAAGCTGTAATTAACTTAATTAAACATTTTAATCGTTTGACAGCCCTAGTCATCAGCTGTGATGTCATCAGCTGTGATGTCATCAGCTGTGATGTCATCAGCTGTGATGTCATCAGCTGTGATGTACAGCAGAAAGTACCCTGTGGTTGTGCTGGAGGCGGCTGTGGAGTTACAGATTATAAATATACAGCATAAAGTACCCTGTGGTTGTGCTGGAGGCGGCTGTGGGGTTTGAGAATAATACAATGATTATTTTGCTTGTTTCTCTGGCTGTAAATGTCGCTGCAGTGAAGTGTCTGTGGTTCTTCTCACTTCTTTTGAGCTGCAGTTTTGTTCATAAAACAGAACATTCTTCATATTTGTAGAAGATCATGCAATGTTTCTTTTTTTACTCTGTTGTTTTTCTTTGTTCTGGCTTGAAATAAAGTATTCATTCAACGTTTCCTGCATAAAAGCTGGCGTCGCAGCTCACAGAACATTCCTCAGATTGTCTTTGAACCAACCCTGTGCTGAGAATGTGTCTGTGATGGTTTCAGTCCCCAGGCCTCGGCTCTGAGCTGGAAACAGAAACTTAACATTCTGCTCCGGAGCCACAGCTGCAGTTTGGCGTCTGTCCAACTATACAAAACATCTACAGTGCATCCGGAAAGTATTCACAGCACTTCACTTGTTCCACATTTTGTTATGTTACAGCCTTATTTCAAAATTCAGATTCAGATTCATTTATTTACCATTTGCAGTCTGTGCACACTGGAGACCAAAAAGTCCCCAGTGTGCACAGACAAATACAGACATAAAACTAAATTAAAAGTACAGAAATAAAACAAATAAAACAGCAAACAAATGTCACTGTGAAATCGATCGACTAAAACAGTTTCAAAACAAGTGCAAATCATTAAAGTGCTCTGTTCACACTGATAACAGCCTGTGGATAAAAACTGTTAGCGTAACGAGATGTCCTGCATCTCAGAGAGCGATATCTTCTGCCAGAGGGAAGAAGCTGGAACATGGCTTTCCCAGGGGGGCCAGAAGAGTCATTAACAATCCTAAGAGCTTTGTTTAAAAGTCTGGATTTATAAAGAACCTCCAGAACAGGAAGCTCACAGCCCACGGTCCTCTTTGCAGAGCGGAGCACCTTGTTTAAAGCTCTCTTTTCTTTATCTGTGATGTTTCCAAACCACACAGACACAGAACCAACAAGTAAACTCTCAATGGTGCAGCCATAAAAGTTAAGCAGAATCTTAGAGTTAGTGGTAAATTCTCTACGTTTACGCAGAAAGTAGAGACGCTGACGAGCTTTCTTAACGACTCGGTCAGTGTTTTTAACCCATTTCAGGTTAGACAGAGTTAGACCCAGAAACTTGCTCCTCTACGATCTGCACCTGGGAGTTGTCGATTACGACAGGCAAATGAGAACTATTGCGACTGAAGTCGTGACCAGTTCACATGTTTTGGATGCGTTCAACTGGAGGTTGTTAGTTTGACTCCACTGAACCACATTTTGTATCTCTGCTCTATAAGAGGATTCATCAGTGTCACTGATGAGACCGATGATGGTGGTGTCATCAGCATATTTGATGATCAAGTTTGAGTCAGAGGAGGACACACAATCGTGAGTGTACAAAGTAAAAAGCAAAGGACTCAAAATACATCCCTGAGGAGAACCAGTGCTCACAGAAACAACATCAGAAAAACAGTCATTGATTTTCACTCTCTGAGATCTGTCAGTTAAAAAGCTAAAAATCCATTTACACATGGCAACACTTAAACCGAGAGACATGAGCTTTTCAATCAGTTTACCTGGGACAAGGCAGTTAAAAGCAGAGCTATAATCAATGAAAAGCATTCCGCTTTCGGTGGGGGACAAGTCTCTCATTGTTGTGACGGCCTACGGGCCTAACAGCAGTGCAGAGTACTTGGCCTTCTTGGAGTCCTTGAGAGGGGTTCTGGCCGGTGCACCGCCCGGGGACTCTGTTTTTCTCCTGGGGGACTTCAACGTCCATGTGGGAATTGCCAGTGACACTTGGAGAGGGTTGATCGGGAAGAACGGCCCCCCTGATCTGAACCCGAGCGGTGTTCAGTTGTTGGACTTCTGTGCCAGTCACGGCCTGTCCATCACGAACACCATGTTCGAGCACAAGGGTGTCCACCAGTGCATGTGGCACCAGGACACCCTAGGCCGGAGGTCGATGATCGACTTTGTTGTCGTATCATCTGACCTTCGACCGCGTGTCTCGGATACTCGGGTGAAGAGAGGGGCGGAGCTGTCAACCGATCATCACCTGGTCGTGAGTTGGATCCGCTGGCAGGGGAAGAAGCCGGTCAGACCTGGCAGAACCAAACGTGTAGTGAGGGTCTGCTGGGAACGGCTCGCTGAGACCCCTGTCAGACGGACTTTCAACTCTCACCTCCGGGAGAGCTCCGGGTGGGTGGGGAGGTCCTTCCTCAAGTGGAGGAGTTCAAGTATCTCGGGGTCTTGTTCACGAGTGAGGGAAGGATGGAGCGTGAGATTGACAGGCGGATCGGTGCAGCGTGCGCAGTGATGCGGTCGCTGTATAAGACCGTTGTGGTGAAGAGGGAGCAGCGTCTGCAGTCAGAGCTGTATCGGACTGTTGTGGTAAAGAGGGAGCTGAGCTGAAAGGCAAAGCTCTCGATTTACCGGTCAATCTTCGTTCCCTCCCTCACCTATGGTCATGAGCTTTGGGTAATGACCGAAAGAACAAGATCGCGGATACAAGCGGTCGAAATGAGCTTCCTCCGCAGAGTGGCTGCTCCCTTAGAGATAGGGTGAGGAGCTCAGTCACACGGGAGGAGCTCGGAGTAGAGCCGCTGCTACTCCACGTCGAGAGGAACCAGTTGAGGTGGCTCGGGCACACTCCCTGGGGAGATGTTCCGGGCACGTCCCACCGGGAGCAGGCCCCGGGGAAGACCCAGGACACGCTGGAGGGATTATGATGGATGAAGCGGAAGAAAATGGATGGATGGTCTTTTGACAACACACACACTGTAATATTTTTGTTTGTTCCAAATCCATATTTTTCTAATACTAATATTAATGCTAATATTAATACTAATATTAATACTAATGCTAATGCTAAAACTAATGCTACCGCTAATACTAAGGCTAATACTTTTACTAATATTTGTGCTAATACCAATTCTAATGCTAATACTAATACTGTAAAGTGGGAAATGATCCAATACCTCCTGTTTGGTCAAAATACTGTGAAACATGAAAGAATTAGCAGATTAGAAATACTCCTTTGTACTTCTTTGGTTTTCTATATTTTACACTTTGATGAGAATGATTTTGTTTTGTTCATAAAAACTGCAGTGACATCAGTTTGTTTCAGTTTCAGGTGTTGTG